ATATAATACTGTTTAAAAATACAGACAAGGTTAAGGTTGAAATAACAACAATCAAACTTGTTAACAGTATTTTGCACTTGTAGTCTTACAAAAGCATCCTGTAATTATATCTTGCCACTGACAAAGAACAAATCCAACAAGTTTGCTGCTGATTTTACAATAAAATACAAGAAAAMACATTTTTATGTGGATAAAAGCATGTCAGCGAAGATGGTGAACCAGAATCCTTAAAGTAAAAGGACTGCACAAGTCATCACAAAAACAAGTTTTGGATTTGGACTCCACACACTTTGCATTTTGCCAGTCTCTTGTCATGGCATTGAATAAAGTCTCTGTAAGCAAAGCTTATAATGAATGACAGCGGAGCCACGTTTTAGGCATTTTACAAAGAGTTTGTTCAATATTGAAGATRGAATAAAAATATCCACTGGAATCCTCTCTTTTGAACGTATACAAATTGTAAGGCTAACGGTTAGATCGACTATATAACCACATTTTAGTCATAACAAAGTTTTCACAAGTCGGCTTAAGTTGTCTATAACGTTATAGAGGGACAGTGCCTTAAGTTTTCTGCTAACACAACAACCCTTTGGATTGTTTTAAAGTCACATTTATTTTGAGCTTCCTCATGTTGGTCTGGGTTCAAAATGTAAACCTGACAGTTCTGCTCTGTTTTTCTCATCACAGCTGCTCAGCAGTCACTCGTTGAAGTCAAGTTTTGAACTTGAATGTGTTCATTTAATAAAACAACAGCGACGGACAGGATCTACTCCACCTCTCGAGTGTTGACCGCACACATCAGCACCTCGTGACCTTGAGCAGGATTAATGAAAATAAATGAGCAGACTCCACTTTGTCCGTTTTTAATGCACGCCTCTGTGATAATTCAGTAAACCTCAAGTTTTGTGACATAACTGGTAATCCTAAAAAAGTTAAAGTTCAGTGTTWATAGTAAAAAATGACATTTTTGAAATCTCAATCTTTGCATAAAACAGCTGATTAATGTGATTTCATAATTAAGTCCCAAGACAACAGCACTTAACACTTGGATGTCAGGATARTAAGTTTTAGGCTTTACTGAAATAAAAAAGATGTTCTCATTTCTYCATCGTCTCAAGTTTCAGAAACCTCCAACTTG